AGGACCACCATGGAGGGGAAGTCATCCAGGGTAGACGTGCACCAGTCATGTGGTCACAGGGGAACCTACACCCCAAAGCCTCTTGGTAGCTCACTGGCTGGTGAGAGGGCAGGTTTGACCTGGCCAGAACCTGGCAAGATGAGACAAATATTTTCTGTCCAACCCCACACATTTTCGGGTGTCTGTGCTGCTGGAGGGCACCTTTGCTCCCAGCAGCTCAGGCTGGGGACGGGCTGGGGTCACATCCCAGCTGGCTGCAGCCAGCACAGGGCACCAGCCCAAACCACTGCACCCTGCCAATCCAGGCCCTACGAGAAACAGCAATGCTGATTTTACCAGATCTCCCTAAACTAGAAGTGTTTAGAAGCCAAACAGTTCTGCACTTACCCTCAGGAATGAGGCAGGAGGTTTCCTTTCCCTTGCTCAGCACCTTAGGTCCCAACATGACTTGCTCAGACAGAGACAGAGTTAGGATCTCACTGCAGGGACAGGGACCCACACCCTCCAGGCACCTGGGGGCTGCTGGGGTGGCACCAGCACAGAGATGCTGGGCACAGGGTCTCCCCTCTCCTGTCCCATGGCCCCCTCCCCCTGCCCTGGGCACAGGGAGGATTTGCTGCAGCCTGGGGAAGAACCCTGCATACAATTAAAACCTACATCCAGTTAATTACTGGTAACAATGTATTTCTCTCTCCCATACCGGCTTCTAGCAAAGGTTTTGCTGAGGACAGCAAAGCAAAATGCTTTGTTTCCACTAGCTTTTTTTTTTTTTTTTTAAACCAAAACAGCCTAATTTGTCTTAACATGACACCAAAAGCCAGAGAAATGTTCCTCAGCTCCAGCCTGTGCTCACTAACAATATCTTTGCAGTCACATACCAAGGAGATTCAATTATCTGGCAGAACATGTCCCAAAGGCATTTAGATAATTGCAAACATAAGTACGAAATCTGCCACTAATTATTAAAGAAATACCAAATAAGGAGACCAAATGATAGAAAAGTCATGTTACTGGGTGCAAAAACCATTCACACATGCTGGAAGGGACACTGCTGTCCCAGGGACTTGTCTCTGCCCTGCCGGGAAAGCCCAAACACTGCAGAGCTGGGGAAAGGCAGTGCCCAGCCCCTCTGCCAGCCCCTCAGGGGCTCAGGGGGTCAGGGGGCTGCGAGGGGCAGCAACACTTACTGCCAGAAGGCAAGTCAGGCCACTCTCTTCCTGCACAAAAGCAGCTGAGCTGAGCAAACGGGAAAAATGGTCTGAGGGGCAACATGAGGGGGCGTGGGACAGGGGTCCCCAGCACCACAGCCTGAAACACATGTTTGGGTGAACCCCGACCCTGGGCAGCCCCAGCACAGAGATCTTCCACCCACCGAGCATCATGGCAGGGTTTATCTCCTCTTTCACTTCAATTTACTTCCTATTTCCTTTATAACCACATGCTCAAGATTTTGGGAAGCAAGAGCTCCTGAGGGAAGATGCAGACCTGGGAGCCCAGCACGGGTGCTGCCTCCCTCCCCTTCCCAGTCTCCTTCTGCACGGGGGAATGTGGAGACAAGCCCTGTTTTCCTGGTACTTGCCCTGACACCTCAGCCACTGCCCCACAATAACAGCAGTTACACTGAATATAGGTCACAAATGGACTTTGTTGAATATTCAGCAGCTTGAGTCGGAAAACAGGCACAAATTGGTGGGTTTTCCCATCTCTTCCTGAAATAGCTGCAAGTTTCCTTCCTACACAGCAGCAGCAATAGCAGAAGCACATGGGACCCTCATCAGACAGCATAAAAACATACAGCAGAGCTTCAGCATGTCCCACCAGGGGTGATCCTGCCTGGGGAGGGATACAAGGAATCACAGAATTGTCACAGTTGGAAAAGACCTCTAAGATCACCACCTCCAACCATCAACCCCCATGCCCATCAAATACCAAACCAAACCAACAAACAAAACCACAACAGGAAACAAACAGACAAGCCCATTAGGGCATTTGGAAGCAGCTCCAAGGTCCCCTTTCACCATTTCCACGAGGAGAGCCATCCTGGAGCAGGGAGCTGTGCTCCTAGCTGGGGAAGGAGCAGGAGCACAAGCGAGGACGCTCCACGTGCCACGAGCTGAGCGGCTTGGCAGGACGCCCGTGTTTGAGGGCTCCTAAAGGGAAAGCAGCTTCTCTGTGACAGCACTTTGGCAAAACCAGTGTTATTTAAATACAACAGTTACTTCAGTCAAAGTAAATAATAATTAAGTAAACCCAATTAAAATTAGCAGCTCTCCAAAATATTCTCGGAAGTGTCTGAGTGTTTGACTCTGCTGCTCTCTGGGGAAGCACAAGCTGGTTTTGGAGCTAAAGGACTCAGTGCCCAGGGGATGTGGCCAGTGACTGCCAAGCACTTGGGTATGGGACAGGGTGCATGAGTGGGGCTGGGGGCTGCAGGGGGCCTGGATGGGATGGGCTGGGGGTGCCTGGCTGCTGCTGGCCAGCCCGACGCAGCTCCCAAGCACAGTTTGCTCCTAATCTTCAGGGTGAAGGACACAAACTGTCAGCACAGGCAGCTGAACAGCTCTGGGGGCACAGCCCCCCCCAGCACCCTGTTCCAGGGACCCCCAGCCCAAGGGGTCCTCCCCCAGCCCTTGCCCTGGGAGGGACTTCCAGGAATGGGCAAAGCAGCCAAGGAACCTGAAGGCATCCACAGACAGACCCGTGTGTCTCCACCTCTGGGGGCTCAGGGCTGTGGGGCAGGGGATGCTGCAGGAGCAGGCAGGGCCACAGGGCACAGGGTTCCCAGTAGGATGTGTGTCAAAGTGAACATAATTTTATCTCCATAGTGACTGTTTTTCCACCGTGTCCTCATTTCCACACTGTCTAAGGAAACTGTTTAAGAAGCAACACTGTTCTCCTCTGCCACACTGCTCCATTTGCTCAGGCACCCTTTTATCAAAAAGGCTCTTCCTTCATCAGCATAATAATGTTAGAGAAAATTAAATCAAGCTCTTTCTGAAAATACCCTTACAAAGGCCAGGCATGTTGGAGAGCTGCCAAGGTGCTTGCTGAGCTGCACTGGGCTCAGGGCTGGGGGCAGAAAGCCTCTGCCTTTTTGGTGTCTGCTCTGGTTCTCAGCTGGCAGGACACTGCTGGGGCTGCTGGCGTGGCAGGGGAGGATGCCAGGGACACCTGCAGGCAGCTCCACATTCCTGTGCAGACATCCCGATGTGTCTGTGCTGATGGCACTGCTGGAAAGAACAAAACCAAGAGCGCGCCCTGCAGCAGAGCCAAGGACACGGGGCAGGGTGGCTCGTGCAGCTGGGGCCACCGGGGCCACCAGGGCCCGGGCTGAGCCCCCAGCAGCGGCCAGACCCCTCGCACCCCTGCAAAGGCAGATCCTGTTCAGCCCTTGCCTTTACCAACCCGCAGCCAGCGAGCACCGCAAAGGATTGTTTGCTGCTGTCATTAGCTGAAAACAAGGCAAATCTGCATATGCTTAATCTTAATTAGGCAGCCCTGGCAAGGAGCCCTCGCTCGTTGCTACCAAACAACCATTTTGCTCAGAAAAGGGTGACAAAAGCCCAGGCATGAGCACACACACAAATCATGGATGGAAAAACCTTCTGCAAAGGCCTTGCCCTGCCCCGTCCCACAGAGGGTGATGGGGTGGGGGACAGGTCAGAGCTGCCCCTTTGGCCCCCCCAGCCCAGAAAGGATGCACGATAGCAGAGCTGGTATAAACTAAACCTGAGGAATTTCACCACCAAATGCATCACTGATAATTATTCAGCTCTCATTTGCCTCTGGCAGGAGCGGGAGCTGAGGGACCTTGGGGAGGCATTTCCTTGAAGGGGACTTGTGGGGGGAACCCTCTTGGGCAGGCTCTTCTGCAGTGCAGCTGTGGGGTCAGGACTGTGAACCTGTGAGTGAAGCCCTTGGTGCCTGGGGAGGGACACGGGGACACGGGCTCAGCCGTGAGCACATTGGGCCCCTTGTGCCTGGGGGTGACACCAGCCCCAGCCATGGTGGGTCTGGAAAGGTGCTGTTGTCTCTCATGGGCCATGGACCTGAGCCCATCTACAAAGCCTCGTGGTTCACCTGGTCCCTGCCCAGCAGCACCACACACCTGCCCGGGCCAGGCACTGCCAGCTCACATGTGGCACACACAGAGCCAGGGAGGAGTGAAGCCCTCTGAGCCCATGTGCAAAGTGCTCCCCTGAGCTGGTGTCCCACACCCTCAAGCTCTTACCTGGGCACTGGCAGCCAAGTGAACTGAGGCCCCAAGTGAACTGAGGCCCCAGCAGCACACTGGGAGGGGAGATGCTCACCCACAGAAGCAGTGAGCCCTCCAGGGGGACTGAAGACGTAGGCACATGGCACCTGGGTGAAAAGATGTAAAGTCAGACCAGGAATGGGAAACACTTTTGCTGCAAAGAAATACCACACTGTTGGGAAACAAAGATGATCCCCCAGAGCAGCCCTGGGGAGGATCTCCCCAAGACCCACAGGAGGGGTCAAGCACCTCTACCCCCCAGTGCTAGTTTGCCTCTCCAGACCCTGCCCGTGGGAAGGGGGTGCTGGTGTCCCCTTGGAGCAAACCAGTTCTCCACTGGTTTGTCTGGGTTTGGTTTTGCACTGGGGAAGACTGAACACTGCTGGAGGAGCGGTGTAACACCAGGGGTGGGCTGCAGATAAAGGCTTGCAGATCCACCAAATATTGGGCACAAAAAGCTCAACGGGGTAGAGTTTGGACAAAACCAAGTCGGTTATTTTATGAGCTGGTGCCTCCAGAGAAGAGCCTGTGCTGGCTTTGCTGTGCTGGAGTTGGTGCTTTATCATTTTACAGCACATTCTGTGCAGAGGGGAATTACAATAAGGCTGGGAATCGTCAAAACATTTCACTTTTAATTGAAATTGACTCCTAGATTATACATTAGGGAGGCTAAATGAAAGACATCACACCCAAGCAAACTCCTCTCCCTGCTGGCTTTGGGCAAACAGCAAACGTGCCAGCTCACCAGGTGGCACCGCTGGGCGCAGATGGGCATGACACAACCTCCTCAACAGCTTCACTTCAGCAAAAAGCACAGAGGTTTGAGTGCCTAAAGCAGAAACCTCCCAGTGCTTTAAATAACCATAATTAACGTATTCAACATGAGCAGCGTCAAAAGCCAAGAAGCGTCGGGTAACGAGGAGCCCACAGCTTCCCCTCTTTGGCATCCAGAGAGAGAAATCCATCTGCAGACATTTAAAACATTCAATATATTTTGGAAGAGACAATGGCTGCTGTAAGATCTGGTGCTGCCCTCACGTGCAATCTGTTTCCTAGCTCAGGAGGAGAGGAAGGTACGTGCAGGATGAGGTGCCAGGGCAGGTTGTGGGGCTGCAGCCTGGCAAGGACTGCGGCTGCACCCAGGGAACATGGGTTATCTTCAGAAAGGGTCTCCTAACAGGTTATATTTACCAATAATTTGAGCACACCGATGGGTGTTTCAGGCAGGGAGGATGGTCTGGACAATAGGAATAGATACAGGAAATAGAAAATAAGATGTAAAATTCATAACCGGAAGCAAGGTCTGCATCGTGTTCTGAAGCTACAGGCTCGTGTGGATTCAGCACCTGCCCCTCTCAGGGCAGTGTGGGAATGGGAAAGTCTGAGCTGTTTCTCCCGCTGTTCATGTATTTGATTCCCTGATTATTATCACAAGACATTTAATCAATATTGTTTCTGAAAATTGTGTTGGCAAAAGAAATACTAAAACCTAGCTCAGCAATATTTTTTCCAGGTCTGTAAAAACAATTTGAAGCCCTGCCTTAGATTCCAATTGAAATGCAAATTGCAACAATAATCCTAACTGAATCATTTGCAAAGCAAGACTTACAGAAAAATAAGGATCTTCCACACATGCTCCACAAGCAGCACTCAGGGGCTGCCCGTGCCCAGGCAGATGAGAGCAGCCTGCACAAAGCTGTGGAGGCTTCTGTTCTTATCTCCACAGAGGAATCCTGCAATCCCATGAATTGCTCACACAATGCAAACACACGGCTCTAAATGGGCTAAATAATGTAGAAATTGATCAGGAAATACAAAAAGGTTGAAAATTACCCAAACACAGAACTGTTTGCAATTTTTAACTTGCATTCAAAACCACTACCTCGTTCCACGGAGTTTTCTAGCTCCAAGGGCTGACTGCAGGGAACTTCAGCAGAGCATTTCATTTGTGAGTGTGGGCAGAGCTGCTCCAGCAGGGTGGGTGAGGGCTGTGGATGGCCCCTGGCTGGCCAGGCCACATCAGTGGGCCATGAGGAGTGTGACAAGGTGGCCCTGTGGATTTTGCACCCTCACCTCCTCCCAGGGGCTGTGAGGACTCAGAAACAAGCCACGGTGGAGGGGTCAAGGCTGCCATGTCCCCACCAGCCCTCCCTTAGGGGCTGGGACAAGAGCTTTGTCCCAGGATCAGCCTTCTTCATGGCCCCATGTGCTCCATGCCTTGGTGCCAGCCCAGACAGACCTCCTGGGGGCTGGTGCACTCCCATCTGGAGCCCAGCTTCCCTGTACAAGCCCTGGATTCATAATCTTGGAACTACAGAAGCAAATCTGTCCTCTGTCTGGTCAGGGGCTTTTTTTCAATGAGTTACTACTCATCAACCCCGGGTAGGAGTCCAGCTCCACTCCTCTGCTCTGCATGAGCACTGACCCCACAGCTGGAAAAGCCCCAGGAGCTCCCACCCACCCATCAAGTGCTGCTCCCCCTTCCTAATTAGGGAGCTTCCTTCCCTGGCTGTGCCCTTCCCAGTAGCTTACCCAGCATCTCCCTGCCCAGAGGGACTCCTGAAAGCTCCAAACCTTGATTAGCTCTTCCTTTTAATTAGTCTCATTCAGAGGTGTTGCCTTCTTCAACCTTGGGCTGCCTTTGCTTCCTCTTCCTGACCCGTTAATGGAACGCAGGTGCAGCTCCTGCCTCTCCCTGTGATGGGCTGGTGCCCACCAGGAGGTGACCCTGCCCCAGCACCCACGAGCCAACACACCCCTGAGCTGCCTCCTTACCAGCCCCACATCCTGCTACAGCCAGCTCTGCACATGGAAAGGCTTGACAAGCACTAGATCCCTGCAGGAGCTGTGCTGAGTGGATGGCTAAGCTCACAATACGGTTATTTTAAATTAAAATTCTTACTGCAGAACCCAGTTCCAGGGCAACGATGCAAAAGGCAAATCTCAGCTGATCCCATGACAACATGAACCCCAGTCTCTAAAACATGAGCTCCTCAGTCTGCCAGGCAAGAGTACCAGAACAATCTGAAAACAGCTCCTTCAGAAGCTGAGCCTCCTGCTGGGCACCAGTTCAGCCAGGAACTGGAAAAGAAAGCTCAGTAACAAAGGCAGCCTTGGCTGATCCCAGGCTGCATCGGGAATTGACCTCCACAAACACCGTTTGATGGAAGATGGATTAGCTGCATTCCAGGTGTCTTCAGCTCAATACACCTGGAAAAAAGTAATGGTAAAGAATGTGCAGAATAAACTGAACTCACAGGAGACTGACACAGCATCAGCAGTGCTGCTGTAGTGCTCGCAAGAAGTTTAACTGAGCACTAAGACAGGCTGAGACTACAGCTTTTCCAGCACAAGGCCATATAAAAATACACAATTTTGCCTCACCCCCACGGGCACAGACCATGCACAGTTGAACAACAGCCATCAATGCCATCTTTAAAAATAAAAATAAAAAAATAAAGCAAAATAAATTTAACTCTTTCCTAGCTTTCCTGTCAGTGCTGGAAGCAGCAACCTGCCTTTCCAGTGGGCTTTCCTCTTCTACCAAACCCATCCGCTGACCCAACATTTAATGGAAGGGTCAGTTCTCCATCATGTGGTACCACCAGATGAAAATACTAACAATAAAGGTCCTATTAAAAAACCACAAACATCTTGGAGACCAGCATTGGTGAGAGAAAACGCAGATTACAGGGCTCCTTAAAGTAGATGTGTAAATGTTTGCTGGCAACTACAACAGCTTTCTAAACAATCCAGAACAACACTGAAATGTGACAGCTTACTAGGCAACATTTTAAAACAGTCAGTACCAGCTGTTAATAAGTGCCTGTATTTTGGGGCCATATGCTACCTTTTACAATATAAAAACAAGTCCCCATGGCACACACACAAAACACACCTCTTGCCAGCACGTCCCCACACCGCGTCCGTTTGGAAGACTTAAAAGTCCTACCAGCCTTTTGAAAACCAAACCCACTGAGATGTTGTTTTTCATACACACTGGCTACCAGCAAGCCTTTCCAGGTAGCTTTTGTCCACCACCCCTCTTTTTCTGCTGATGTTATCACTGGAAATCTCATCACATTGGATAGTTTACTGAAAACTTTTTTATTGTAATCAAAAAGTGACATAACAGGGCTGTAATGTATTCTGCAAATCATTCTGCTGATATTTTATAACTGATACCAGCTCCTTTTGCCAGGCAATTAAAAAAAATCCAAATGTGAAAACTTTCACAGTACAGTAAACTCCACCCAAACTAATTCATGGTGGTTAAAAATAAGATGCCCCAGCAAAACCTTTCATGTTACATGGTCACAACTCACAATTCTGTACAAAATGTTCACTTTTATAAAGCTCTGATGTAAAAATCAAATAACCAAGCAGCAATATTTTAAGTGCAGCACAGGGTCTTTCATGTCATTATTTACAACGCTTGAATTCGTTTACATTTTAACAAAATTTAATACAGATGACTTAGGAATTAAGTCACTTTTTTATCATCTGTCATTCTATGTAGGGACAGATTTCACTTTTTGGTCATCTTTTTCTTTATCTTTGCTCTTCTTCGATTTTTTCTTCTTGTGTTTGTGTTTTTGGCTCTTTTCCAATTCTGTTTCGTTTCCCATGTGTTTCTTATGCTTCTTGTGTTTCTTATGCTTCTTGTGCTTCTTCTTCTCCTTTTTCTTTTTCTTTTTCTTGCTGTCTTGACTCTCTCCTGAGCTGGCACTGCTGCTGTGGCTGCGGGTCTGGCTCTCCGAGGGGCTCTGGCTGCGGCTGCGGCTCACGCTGGGGCTGCTTTGGCTCTGGCTTCTGCTCACTTCAGGCTGCTCAGCTGCAGCAGGTGCTGCTGGTTCCTCTTTCACCTTATCGACAATAGCCTTTTCTTTCGGTTCCTTTGGATTTTTTCCTGCAGCCTCCTCATCTTTTGCAGATACATTACTCTCACTGTCACTTTCATTGTAGTCTGGTACAAAGGCAGCCTCATCAGTCTCTCGCGTGAGATCAGAGGAGAGCCGGGAGGAGCTGCTCACCTGAGGCTTCGGCTTGACGAGGCTTTTATCGTTCTGCCCCGTCACATTCTCCTTCTCAGCTTTTACCTCTGGTGATTCTTGTTTCACAGGTGGTTTATTAACAGCTGGCTCTTTCTCTTTATTGCTCTTTACTTCTGGTACAGGCTTTTCTGTCTCTTTTTCTTTCTCTTTCTCTTTC